ACACACACACACACACACACACACACACACACACACACACACACACACACATACAAACACAAACACACACACACGCGAATAATGTATCATCCTCGAGCTTGTCAAACGTTGTAAGCCGAGAAAGTGATCTTTTTCTATAAAAAGGCACAAATTCTTTCATAATTGTTATTCAGACATATGTATATCTTTTCTTGCATGTTTTGACTTTGAATTTGAAATTTCACAAAATATTCCTGAAGCTCATGAAACGGATACCACAAATGAAAAAATTGCGATAAGAATATTTGTCAAAAATTCAAGCCTAAAATATTTAAACAGCTGGCCGACAAAATGAACAAATACAGAGAGATAGAGGAAAAGAGAGCGAGCGAGAAAGAGACAGAGAGAAAGAAAGAAAGAGACAGAGAGAGAGAGGGAGATTGACGGAGGGAGAACGAAAGAGAATAGGAGAAAGCGAGACAGACAGACAGACAGACAGACAGACAGACAGACAGACAGACAGACAGACAGACAGACAGACAGACAGACAGACAGACAGACAGACAAAGCAAGTAGCAAGACAAGGACCACTGTAACAACGAGGGTGAGTTTACAGTAGTCCTGGGATTAACTTGCCACGCCTGAGATCATGTCAGAATGATGAGATACTGAGCTTTTCTTTGTTCCTGTAGTATGACATTTGTCTACGTATAAAATATTTGCGGAAGCGGATGAGCTGTAGCAAGGATTAGTTTAGTAAAGAAAAAAGATGTATGTTATGAGTTTTATCCCTCTATTCAATTCGTAAGATAACTTAGGATTAATTTCTTTCAATGACATGTCATTGTTAAGTGTATGGGAAGGGTCTTTAAAACTCTCGAAGCAAAGAAATTCAGAATAAACCAAACAAACCCACCCAAAAAAAAATCCGTAAGAGATTCAATTGAGAGTCAACCGAATCGGTGCCAAACATGATACCAACTTAGCTCACGATACCATCACAAAATATGGGAGAATACAGATACGACACATAAGTAAAGTAATTACATGTTTTATATCTGTCAGATATTTTCGAGCTGTAGTATTATTGTATTTCTCATTTAGAGTGGTTGCACATCCAGTTAGTGTACACTTACCTGTTTGTGTACCATACAGTTCAAGGTGATATTGAACAATGAAAACCAGTTAGATACGGCAGAAGGATGACAGAAGAAGAGAAATAAAAGAAACTGAAACAGAAAGAAAGATAGTAAAAAGAGAGAGAGAGATCAAAGAGAGAGAGTAAGAGAGAGAGAGAGTGAAGGGGGGAGAAGAGAAGACAAGAGAGAGAAAGAAAGATAGATAGAGAGAGAGATATAGAGAGAGAGAGAGAGAGAGAGAGAGAGAGAGAGAGAGAGAGCGAGGGAGAGGGGGGGGTAGGGGCAGGATAACAGGGAATAAGACATAAGAAAAAGAAGAGAGTACGCTGAATTGGGATAAGGACACACTGAGAAAAAATACGGTGATGGTGGAACTTGTGTAATTGTAGTGTGTGTAGGTGTGTTTTATTTTTTATCGAGATTATGTGTGCGTGTGTATGTGTGCGTGTTTGTGTGTGTATTTGTGTGCGTTTGCTTGTTTGTTTGTACGTTTCAACGCTTGTAGAGATACCAGAGTGTACATCTGTATTTGAAGACGAAAATATTACTGATTGGCTTTGTGAGTTCCCGAAGCCATTATAATACTTTATTTCCCTCATTTTGAACTCATGAAGATTCCAACAAAAAAAGAGCTGAGCACAGAGTAGAGCACACAGTAGAGCATACACAATTAAACATAAAAATCCCAAACTGACCCTTGGGAGAGTTTCCATGTTGCTCCCCTCCCCTCCCCCAACGCTTACGCTTGACAAGAAGAGACATCGATGACCACATTACGTAGATACATAATAGAGCAGAACAAAACAAAAAAACAAAACTTGCACCGGGAACAGACAAATGGCGCCCAACCACATAATTGATTCCAATCGAGAGCCAGTCAGCCAGAAGATTATAATTCGGTGTAGTGGTATTTTGCCACAGCTGTCTGTACGTAGACAGAGCATAGAAACTCTCGATATGAAATAAAAGAAAACCTTGGCCAAATCATCCCTTGACATTATTTTGTAGACTGACAGAGAATATTACGACGTGGTCTATTATTATTATCACTATGATTGTTATGATTATCACTGTTATTATTATCATTATTATAACTGTTATTTTTGTTATTATTATTTGAAAAAATATTATTATCATTATTATTATCATCATTATTATTATCATAATTATTGATATTGTTGCTACAATTATTATTATCATTGTTATTAATATCATTATAATTTTTATTTTTATTATATCATTATTATTAACATCATTATTATCATGACATAATATTTTATTTTCTCTATCGGTCATGTTATTTTTACTCCTGTTATTATTATTATTATTATTATTATTATTACTATTATTATTATTAATGTTGTTATTATATCATTAGCATCAGTATCCTTCATAATAATAATTAATTGATGGTGATTATCAGTATTGCTACAGTTATTCTTATATAAATATAATACTTATTTTGTACATTTTCTTGTTGATATCAATATAATTACCAAAATTCTTCCATCTTAACCATCTTGTTATAAGCATTCATGTGACCTTAGAGCATGCTTCAGAATAACATTAAATATGTATCTAGCATTAAGATTATTCATGTTTATATTGCTATTCATTTATAGTATGCAAGTGACTGTAAGCCTGCGAGTGTTTGCATGTTTGTGTGTTCGTTTGTTTGTCTGTTTCTTTGTTGTGTGTGTGTGTGTGTGTATGTGTGTGTGTGTGTGTGTGTGTGTGTGTGTGTGTGTGTGTATGTAGTGAAACGCCAAACCAATGTGTCAGGATCTGGACAATAATATAAAAATTATGTCTTATCTTATCTATCTTATCTTATCTTATCTTATGACAACTATTATCATTATAATTTATTTTCATTTCTATTTTCATTATTACCGTATATTGCCATTCTTTCCTATGCTGGAGGTTTGAGACTTGGATTATACATTTTTTCTCCTGTTCTTTATTATCATTTGTTTGCGTTCTTTAAAAAATCTTCATCTTTTGTATTTTTTAAATATAAAAAGTATACCTGTGACACACTATATTATGCTTATTTTACAGTGTAGTTTCTGTATAATTTACAAATGTTAATAGATGCAATGATATTAATATTGATTAATATGTCTGAACTGTTTTCTCGGTTAATATCATCCTGAACTAAGATGAAAATAACGTTGGTTTGAATTGATGACCAGCTGTTCTTGAATTTTCGTTTTATTTGAATTCATTGTAGGCTGTCTTAAATTTGTGCAATTCTATTATAGGGGACTTTGAGTCGGAGGTCTAGCTCGTTAAGCACTCCGTCAAAAGAAAATAAGCATATCACACACACACACACACACACACACACACACACACACACACACACACACAC